ACGGTTAAGTTTTTTTTTAATCCTGTGTTTAATAATTCCAAAAATTCTCTTCGAAAGTCCACAATTTGGTGTCTACGGACTCGGCTCGTCACGCTGAGTAACATATGTCACCCAGCAGGGGAGCCCTGGAGGAGTCTTTGCTGCCCTTCGCTGTGCAGGGCTGTAAGGTGCGCGGCGCCCGGTAGCTAGCCTTGTTAAGCTGGCGCAATGCCTTGGGCCGGCGCCACGGGCCTCAGCCAATGGGTCATCTCTCATATGCTGAGTCCACACCATTAAGACTAGTGTGAATGTCACAACGGAAAAAGTTTGTCCAAAGTCCACAAGTTTTGGGTGTCTACGGACTCGGCTCGTCACGCTGATGACAGTAACATATGTCAGCCCCAGCCTTCTGAGTCGCTCCCTTCCGAAAGGGCCGCATGGGCGTCTCTCAATATGCTGCCGGGGACACGATTTAAATTCTGTGTTTTTAATAATTTCCAAAAAATTTTCTCGAAAAGTCCACAAAATTTGGTGTCTACGGACTCGGCTCGTCACGCTGAGTAACATATGTCAGCCCCAGGCTTCTAAGTCGCTCCCTTCGAAGGGATGCCTCCGTTTAAACGTCTCGAGGCGCCGCTTGCCTTGCGAACGAAAAATTTTGTCAAAAGTCCACAAAATTGGGTGTCTACGGACTCGGCTCGTCACGCTGTAGAACATATGTTCAAGCCCCAGCCTCTGAGTCGCCTCCCTTCCGAAGGAAGGTTCATCTCTCATATCTGAGGTGCCACACCATTAAGACTAGTGTGAATGTCACAACGGAGGAAAAGTTTGTCCAAAGTCCACAAGTTTGGTGTCTACGGACTCGGCTCGTCACCTGAGTAACATATGTCAGCCCCAGCCTTCTGAGTCGCTCCCTCTCCGAAGGGCCGCCATGGGCGGGTCTCTCATATGCTGCCGGGGGATCAAGTTTAAATTCTGTTGTTTTAATTAATTTTCCAAAAAAATTTTTCTCGAAAGTCCACCAAAATTGGTTGTCTACGACTCGGCTCGTTCACGCTGATTCAGTAAACATATGTCACATCCCAACGGCGGAGCGGGGGGGTGCCGGGCAGCTTAGCTCTGTGCCATTGACTGGGCGCAATTGCCTGTGCCGGGGGCGGGTGGCGGCCGGCGGGCCGCCATGGTCCTACTCTTCATATGCTGAGGGTGCCACACCATTTAAGACTAGTGTGAAGTCAACAACGGAAAAAAGTTCTTGTTCCAAAGAGCGACTCTAGAAGCCTGGGGCTGACCATATGTTACTCAGCGTCGAGCCGGTAACATATGTCCAGCCCCCAGGCTTCCTTAAGTCGCCCCTTCGGATAGGGATGCCCGTTTAAACGTTCTTCCAAGGCCCACTCTGATTGCACGAAAAAAAAAATTTTTCCGAAAATGTCCCACAAATTGAATCTACGGCTCAGGCTCGTCCACCGCTGAGTAACATAATTCAGCCCCAGGCTGACGGGCATTCAGGGCGGCAGGGTCCGCCGGGCGGCTGGCTTCTGTTTGCTGGGCGCAATTGCCTGTGCCGGGGCCGGGGGGGCGGCCCGGCGGGCCGGCGGGCTGCCATGGTCTCAGTCATCTCTTTCACTATGCTGAGGTGCCACACCCAATTAAGACTAGTTGTGGAATGTCACAACGGAAAGAAAAAAAGTTTGTCCAAAGCAACAAGGTTGGTGTCTACGGACTTCGGCCGTCATGGGCTAGCTCTGTTTGCTGAGGCGCAATGCCTGTGCTTGCAGGCGGGGCGGGCGCCGGCGGGCGGCGGGGCGCCGGCGGCGGCCGGGCGGCTAGCCTCTGCTTGCTGGGCGCAATGCCTGGTGCCGGAAGGCGGGGCGCCAGCGGGCCGGCGGGCCGCCATGGGGTCATCTCTCATATGCTGCTGCGGATGCCACACCATTAAAGACTAGTGTGAATGTCACAACGGAAAAAGTTTGTCCAAAGTCCACAAATTTGGTGGTGTCTACGGACTCGGCTCGTCACGCTGAGTAACATATCTCAGCCCCAGCCTTCTGAGTGCGCTCCCTTCCGAAGGGCCACCATGGAGCGGTCTCTCATATGCTGCCGGGACACGAGGTTAAATTCTGTGTTTTTTAAATAATTTCCAAAAAATTTTCTCGAAAGTCCCACAAATTTTTGGTGTCTACGGGACTCGGCTCGTCACGCTGAGTAAACATATGTCAGCCCCAGGCTTCTAAGTCGCTTCCCTTTCGGAAGGATGGACTCCGTTAAACGTCCCGAGGCCCGCTTGCTGCGACGAAAAAATTTGTCAAAAGTCCACAAATTGGGTGTCTACGGACTCGGCTCGTTACCGCTGAGTAACATATGTCCAGCCCCAGCCTTCTGAGTCGCTCCCTTCCGAAGGGCCGCCATGGGTTCATCTCTCATATGCTGAGGTGCCACACCAGCGGTCCCTAAACTTTTTTCAGGTGCCACATCAACTTTTCCTTTCTGAGGAAGGGGGGCCGAGGGTTAGCTTTTCTATAACAGGGAAATGATATATGGGCCAGGGTGACAACCAGTATTATTGTGGAGATTACAATGTATTTTGTTGTAGCTGCCTTCGTTTGGCTTTGGCCACCACTCTGTTAATTTGCAAAAAAAAAAAGTTAATAAAAAGTCCTTCACATGTGTTCATTTGAATAGTACCACAGATACTCCATTTATCTTATATAGAAAAATAACAACACAAACTGATGGTAATGTTCAAGTAAGAATATGAGGTGATATGTTGATTTTTAACAGGTACAGTTGAGTTAACAAACAGTACGTTTCTGTCTTTACAGGTAGTGAAATAAATATTTAATAACAGAAATAGTGGTCAGAATCAGTAGAACATGTTGCCTATAAAAAAAGAGCATTTACTATAATACATTTTTTAATATTTATTGCTATTGAAATCAGTAGGCTTACCATTTTCAGTTGAGCTGTGGGCTTGCTTCTGACTGGTGAGGAGGATCGATGGTCAGGTTCCATTCCAGTTACAGCCAGTCTCAGAGACTGATGCAGGTGTTGATCTGTGAGACTTGATCTCGTCGGATTTTTTACCAGCTTCATGTGTGAAAAAGTTTGCTCACAGATATATGTGCTCCCAAAAACTTGTGGACATTCTTTGTTTGCGTGCTTTCTTATGTTGGGGTAGGTCTCAATTTTGGGAGGGCAGCCATAGTACTTGATCAGACTGTTGGGCTGAATACGTCTTTCAGCACATCACAGGTCTGCAAACTCAGCCAGCTCAAATTGAAGAGAAGGCCAGGGTGTCTCGTTAATGTCCGCAGCAAAAAGGTTCTGGAATGTGCGGATTTCTTTAACGTGGACATTGAAGTGCTCATGGAACCGCACACCGAACTCCGCCCTCAGTGTTTCCAGTGCATCCTTGCACTTTCTCGGTTGGGAACGGGACCGTCCGGTTCTCAGCTGAGAGGCTCGAGTTAGCAGGAGATGGGTGAAGTCTTGTTTTTGCACCTGTCCAATAAAGCAGCGCTAGTTTAAGGCTCAAATACTTTGATGTGGGAATACATGTCAGATTAGTTTTCTCCCTTGCCTTTGGAGCCTGCAAGTTGAGCGGCCGTTTTAAAAATTTCCTGACCACATTCTGTTAATAAAGCGAGGTCCCATTTCCATTCTGTGTCGATCAGCTCTGGGACAGTTTTCCCTTTGTCAGGAAGAAAGCATTGATTATCGGGTAGCAGGGTTTCGCTTAAAAAAATATAAAAAAAAACGTCTTCAAAACTCTGCCCCCGCTTAACCAGCGGACTGAGCCGAGTCCGTAGACACCAAATTTGTGGACTTTCGAGAAAATTTTTGGGTTGTGACATTCACACTAGTCTTAATGGTGTGGCACCTCAGCGTATGAGAGATGACCCATGGCGGCCCTTCGGAAGGGAGCGACTCAGAAGGCTGGGGCTGACATATGTTACTCAGCGTGACGAGCCGAGTCCGTAGACACCCAATTTGTGGACTTTTGACAAAATTTTTCGTTGCAGCAAGCGGGCCTCGGAGACGTTTAACGAGGCATCCCTTCCGAAGGGAGCGACTTAGAAGCCTGGGGCTGACATATGTTACTCAGCGTGACGAGCTGAGTCCGTAGACACCAAATTTGTGGACTTTCGAGAAAATTTTTTGGAAATTATTAAAACACAGAATTTAACCGTGTCCCCCGGCAGCATATGAGAGACCGCCCATGGCGGCCCTTTGGAAGGGAGCGACTCAGAAGGCTGGGGCTGACATATGTTACTCAGCGTGAAGAGCCGAGTCCGTAGACACCAAACTTGTGGACTTTGGACAAACTTTTCCGTTGTGACATTCACACTAGTCTTAATGGTGTGGCACCGCAGCATATGAGAGATGACCCATGGCGGCCCTTCGGAAGGGAGCGACTCAGAAGGCTGGGGCTGACATATGTTACTCAGCGTGACGAGCCGAGTCCGTAGACACCAAACTTGTGGACTTTGGACAAACTTTTCCGTTGTGACATTCACACTAGTCTCAATGGTGTGGCACCTCAGCATATGAGAGATGACCCATGGCGGCCCGCCGGCGCCCCCCCCTCCCACCACGCCACACGACGCCCCTCAGAAAGGAAAGTTGATGTGGCCCCCACTGAAAAAAGTTTGGGGACCGCTGATCTAGACAATCTAAATCACTTTATTTGGAGCTCAAACTGAAACAGACCACACCCGAGATGTCGTGATAATCCCTCACTGCACAGGAAAACTGAATGAACACAACTACAGGAAGTACGGAGGGTCAAACTGAATCTGTGATAGATGTTTACAACAGACGGTTTAGGTATTAATTTTACTGTCTTGCCTTCATGTTCTCTTCCAAACAAGTAACTGCTAAAATGATGGAAAAAACCAATAAGACTTAAACTGGAATAAACCTTTACAGCTCCTATGTGCAGGACATGAAAGTCAGTGTCTTTAATGTGAACAATAAATAAAAATATTAAAATGTGTGTGTGTGTGTTTGTGTCTTACTTGCGGATGTACAGGTAGCCCTGTTTCCTGGTCAGGTTGCGACAGACAGGTGAGTGGGCGGGGTCAGGGTCACACGGTGCATACAGCGAGTCACATGATATCTCCATCTGCTGGATGGTCTGCTGCATCTGCCCCACCTCCTCCTCCATCTCCCGACGGACACTAAACACACACACAGACACTAGATTCACATTTGCTGCTCAGGCCTTCATACTACTCTCATGTTTCCATCCATCTGCAGCTTCTTCAACACCACTGGCACTTTAAAACATCTGAGTCACTTTGGGAGGAGGGGGGCGGGTATAAGGTCCTTACTTCTGGACGCTGGTTCCTATGGTTCCCAGGAAGTCCTCCCACTGCTGGGTAAGATTTTCTGACCCCAGCTTAAAGAAACTGATCTGCACAGAGCGAACACAGACACATCAGCAGGTTCCACTTCAACATCACAGCAGTCTCATGTTTCTCTCTGTTAACAGTGACATCTATTTCTTGTTGCTGTCACAGTGATGCACATGAAAAACTCACTGCTCTGTGTGTGTGTGTGTGTGTGTGTGTGTGTGTGTGTGTGTGTGTGTGTGTGTGTGTGTGTACCTGGGCCTGCATGTAGCCCAGCAGTGGCTCCAGCAGAGCTGTTTTCTTCTTGTACTGTAGCGTGTTAAGTGAGCAGAAGTAGTGCATCATGGTCTGGTGCTGTTTCTTGCGAGAGGTGTAGACGTCCTCCACTGCCTCGGCCCGCAGCTGCAACACACGAGACTCTGCTCAGTATTACAATTCAAGGTAATATCTTTTAGTCAAAGATACTATATTATTATATATAGATATTATTACTGATAATCGTATTGTGATATGTTCATATTGGCATATAACTGGTTTGAGAAGCTTGAACCTTGTAGGAGAGCTTTGAAAACACTCCCCTGCTGCAGCTGCATCCCCACACAACAAACACTTCACTGACGTATGACAAAAAATACAACTGAACAATGGTTCGACCCCGACGAGATGGGACAACTCAAAGGGTTACTCCTAATAAAGAATTTCCGAGAAATCAACTGAAATGGCTGCCTGGAAGGAAATCAATCTGATCGATCTAAAAACTGTGCATTAAACAATAAAAATGTACAATTAGACGTTAATGGGTTAAAACGCTCAAAACCAGACTGGACAATGCAGAAGTTACGTCCATATCTTTCTAATTATTTCTGCAGAAAGTGCCTAATGTAATTTGTTTCAAATTATAGGAAAAATGGCGACCGTGCTCAATTGCTACATTTCCAATTATTGTAATCCAAGTAACTGCTAATAACTGCCTCATTGTGCACAGCAGGTCAGCTGAACATGAAGACGTGAGATTAGTGTGCAAGCAACTGAATGGATACTTCATCAAGAAAGCATTACCTCAGAGTTTAGCATCAAATTGTGGTATTAAAGCACTGAATAATAAACCTGATGAGGAGCGTTGCTGTCACTAACGTGGTTACCTTGTCGTTGTCCCTCTTCTTGGACAGGCGGCTGTATCGATTAATGGCTGTGTCATGATCTGCACACAGACACAGTCAAACAGGCAGGTGAGATGGTTCAGGTGATGAAACATATTTTCTTTTTCAGCAGTAACAAGTTAGAGAGGAAGACAAAGCAGTAATGAGGACAACAATATTCTGCCTGTAACCATTAAAAACAAGGTGAAATCTTCATTTAAGTTCAGATAAACCTCAGTAACAAAGCGATTCTGACTGAACGTGGAAGCAGTTTGAAGCCACGGGAGTCAGACTGACAAAAAGATTAAATGTGACTCTACATTGTGACGTGTCGAGCGAACTGTGACTGAGAGATGGTGGCTAGAAATTCTCATATTATCTTCATTCAAATTAGGACAGACAACACTGCATACTCATGGATTAACAGTAATGAAAATATGCTCAAGACAAATGTTAATCAATGAACTGCTTTGAGTAAATTATTACATAAAAATTCCAAACATTTGAGAACCAATGTGAGATTTTGCAGATCTTTTCCCAGATTATTACAAAGTGAACAGCTTTTAATAACAGGAAATGCAGCGATCCTCAGCCTCCAAAGTCCTTAACTGCCTGAATCTAGTCAAAAAAATTCTGTCCTCTGGTTTTGTGGAAAAAAAACTCTACCAGACATACAAGCAGATGTCAGGCGGACATATTAGAATATGCACACCAAAGCTTCAAGCAAAGCTGAGATAGAGATTCAGACAGGTCATAATTGTAGTAGAAAAACATAACACTAGCCAGCATCTGTTAGCAACAGTAGCTAACGGACAGGGGGCGCAGAATCGTTCAATTAGAAGATGCTCAGGAACTTGTGATGAACATTTATTCCAAAGAAAGAAATTGATAAACTGATATAGAAAATGAATTGCAGCCCCTAACCAGTGGTGCTAACTTACCATCACTGGCTATCTGGAAGACTTCTTTCAGAGTGAGGATCTCTGGAGGGAAACAAAAAGAACTGCAAGTTAGAATGCAAGGGATATTTTTACCTTTCCTGTTTATGTGAGCACCACATACTGGTACAAGTGTACTTTTTGTCTGGAAATCCCTGCAGCCAGGTTCCAAAATCTGTTGGAAAATCTTGTTGAATCACATGTTCAACTATCACATTTGACGGTTAGCTGTCCACGTAGCCCTTGTCCATGTAGTTCTTTTTTAGTTTGAGTGTGGTTTCCTACCCTTCAGCTCTCTTTCTTTAAACTGAGTGATGGGAAACATCATGGCGTCTGCAAGTTGGGTGGACAAGACAGCATGGCAGGAACTCAACTAGAAAGAGAGAGAGAAACCAGTGGAACCACCACAGTTTGAAGATGAACACAGCGTCTTATTCTCCATCTCACAGATATTAACAGTAAATCGATTCTGATGTCATATCATATCAGATAAAAACTTCTTGTGCAGCACATCCAGAAGGATAAAACAAACTTGTCAGACGAAATATCGAGCTCTGGTGTGTTTGTGTTCTCTCTCACCTCATCAATGACTTTTGCAAACTGCTGCAGAGTGGAGCTCATCACCTCATCATCGCCCCCTAGAGGAAAACGCTGCAGACAACAGCAGCAACGACATGGAGGAATGGATTAGAATGATTCCTGAGAGGAAAATGCATCAAACGCACAGCATATGAATCTGTCAATTCCTGGGAGCAAAACACCTCATCATCAAAAAATAAATGTTAGTTAAATGTTGACCTGTAGTTGTCTCTAATGGAAAGGTCAGGGGTCATGAGATATTTACAAAAATGTCAAGAGGTCTTGTTTTGGACTAAAGTGTTTAGTCAGGCAGATGGGACAAAATGCTCCTAGCTGCTAGCTGTAAAAATCAACAGTGTAAAACATAACCAGAGCTGTAGATAAGACACAAGTGTGTGAAGTAAGCATCAAAGCCAGTGGCTAGTATTATAAGGCTAATGGCTAGTGTTAAAAGGCTAGTGTTTAGCATTTTAACATTTGTGGCTTCTGTTTTAGGGATGGTGCTAGTGTGATATGGCTGCTAGCTAATGTTATAAAGCCGGTGGCTACTTTATAAGGCTTTGGTTAATTATAAGACTGATAGGTGGTGTGATAAGGTTCATGGGTAGTATTAGAAATTTAGGGCTGGTGTTATAAAACTGTGGTTAATGGCCTCTGGCTAGGGACGTGAGGCTAACGGCTAGGGTCATAAGCCTGATGGATAGTGTTGAAAGGCCAGTGAGGTCTACTGTAAGGCTCGTGTCTAGTGTTGTAGCGCAGTGGCTAGTGTCTTTGGGGTGGTGGCTGGTATGAAGTGGCCCACCTGTTTGTCGTACTCTTTCAGCAGCCTGGAGGTCAGGTGTGTTGCAGCACTGAGCTCATTCTGAAAAAACAAAACAAAACAGCAGAAACAGCACTGAGCAGCTGGAGACACATTATTTAATCAGCAGCCACGTATTAATGTTGCTGTGTGTTCTGGCCTGCAGCTGCAACGCCAGTGGCAGTATAACTGTCAATCATGTGTGTGAGCGTGTACCTGTGCATCATAAATCCTATGCATGGCCTGATAGAGCTGTGTACAGTAGTTGGAGATCGCTGCAGTGTCCTCCTCAAACACTCCCAGCAGAGAGCGGGTCTGTATACAAAACACACAATAGAAGTGGTGAATAACAGTGTTAGTTATGGCCCCAAATGATCCCTTGTGTGACTGCCAAAAACCAAACCCATGTCTATCTATGTAAATCCACACCTGCGATCTGTCCCTACAGTACAGTACTGTTATCAAGGTGTGTCCCAACAGCATTATTTAGCCTTTAGCCAGCCAGCAAGCTCATCTGTCATTGTCTATCTCAACTAATGTCATTGTGAGAGATTAAAATAAATACAGTTGTATGTAAAAGTCACACATAAAAAAAAAATTGCATCCAACTGTACGACTCTGAATTTTGACGTGTGTCTACCAATTTATAAATGGTCAAGCGGCACCAGGACTTACAATAATTACATAGACATTACACTACTGCAGCTTGTATCACAAAGACAAATTTGCGTAGCTAATTCACATTCTTTTAGTCTGGTTAAATTGTATATATTTTACCATGCTGGAAATCGCATTTTGAAACTGCAATGATCAACTTTCCCTCAATGTTTCCTCATATTACTCCTGTCACTCTCACAGTTCTGATGATGTTACATGTAGTTTCAAAGTACGGCTGTTTTACTTGAATGGTCACAGCTAGATAAGAAAACCCAGAATTAACTAAGCTTGTTAACCTTTTTCATCCAGATTCACCAATATAAAATCCTCACATATGACACACTGAAACAAGGGAATGTTTGACACTTTTGCTTGAAAAATACCTAAAAATTCAGTCACTTAAAATTAAAATTATTTCTGATAAATCTTCTGGCAATCTTCTAATCTAATACTTGACAAATCATTGCCCGTATAATACAGGTCCCTGAAGTGCCTGATAAAACTCATGGCACATTAACTGAACTAAAACATCCAAACATCCCACAGTATATTTACAGACTGAACCTGTCAGGTGTATCACACTCTGGCCACACCCTGATCAGTGATGTCACAGCAGGTGTTCTGTCCTGGATTTGCTGCACTAATTGTGGTGTGTCTCAAGTCATCTGGAGCAGTGCATCACCAGCAGCTGCAGTTGCAGCAGCAGCTTCTTGCGGCTCTGTGTGACATACTAACAATAACAGACAGCAGCAGGGTGACACTGCTGTTTGGCCAAGGAATAAACAGTTATCACTGGAAAGAGGGGAAACACTTTAGCTTAAAGGCTAAGGAAGTAGCTAAATACACATTTAACGAGCTCATTTCAGTGCAAACCAACATTGAATGATTTTTGACATTTTGACTTCGTATCTTGACTGACACCTCCTCCAGCTGAGGTCATTTTAACGCCGATGCACAGCTGGCGTTTCCCATTTAATCTGTCCGGTTGACAGCTTTGGTTAGCCGGGCCGTTAGCGGCATCTCTTCGCTGGTTGTTGGCAAACACTGAGCCTACAAAGACAGTTAGCCTAGCCGGATAAGTAGCTAACGTTAGCAAGCTAGCTGAAGCCTCCAGTGAAGAGATATGTTACCTGCGGACTGTCCTCCAGCGTCTCCTCTATCGGCAGCTTCTCTATCCCGGGCATGTCTGCAGCTGGCGCGTTGGAAATCGGTGCCAATCAACGGACAAAACGCACAACAAATCGGTCTGACAACTCCCACTCAAGATTTCTTGACTACACGAATTCACAACACCCCAAAACAGATCCACCCAGTAGCGGGTGTCCCGCCCCCCAAGTGGATTTTGATTGGATAGAAAATAACTTCCATGAATTCGATTGGTTTCTTGTTTAAAGGGGAAAAGGCGCCATTTTGGATCTTACTGGGATCGCCCTTTCACTATTTTCGTGTGCAATTCAGAGCCATAATGGCGGCCAGTCTGCTGCGTTTGCAGGTGAGAAAAACGGTATTTTTAGCCTGTATTTGTTGATTTTACTGATGCCATCAACTCCTGTTACAGGGAGTTTTGCGAGTTGTAAGCTATCATATGTTCTGTATGTATTTTCTGTACGTTATTTTTAACCATATTAAATGGTTAAATGGTCAATTGAATGTGCAAGGATAATTAATTTAGGAGTACAATACCAAATACATTCTTTGAGTTAGAGCAGTGGTCTGTTATCAATCACACTGACATAGAAACAGGTAACTATAGTATATGTATTGTAACATAAATAAAGGTTTAGTATAAAATAGTAAAAAGTATAAATAGTAATACATAACAAACATGAAAATAAATTTATAATGTATAATGGAATAATTATGGAACAATAACAACACCCTTCTTTAAAAACACAAGTAAAATAATTTCATTTATTTAAAAATGACATTTAATATCAATCATGATGCCACTATGGATGACATGTCAGGACTGGGCTTCCTCCACATTGGCAGGTGTCAGGGGACCACGAGGGAACAATTTCTCTACCACACTGGGGAGTCCATGCAGCACACAGCAGCTCAGGCCATTGCGGTACCTCTTAATGTTAGAGTCACTGTACCACATACAGGTGTCCGCATTGTAGCGCTCCACAGTTGACAGAGTGCAGCTTTTGTGTCCTCCGACCACAAAGAGCTGGTCGTTCACCACCTCGATGCCAAAGTAGCTGCGGTTGGTGTTCATGGACGGCATGGGGCTCCACCTGTTGGTTTGGGGGTTGTAGGCCTCAACACTGCGCATGTGGTAGCTCCCACTACAGGTGCCACCAACCTGGGAGAGAAAGGTAGGAAAAAGTCTTCATGTCTTACATGAAGACACGCAAATATTCTTGCAGTGCCACTTCCTGGTCTGATGGGAGCTTTATCCTTTAAAAGGCTTTTCAGTTTTACATTTGTTATCGCAGTCACTAATCGCCATCTTACAAGTCATTTGAATACAATAAACCAAATTTTTGAGCAACATATTGATCCTAAACTCACTGCATAGATATTGTCTCTGAAGGCAACGACCCCAAGGCCACTTCGGCAGGTCCTCATGGGTGCAATCAGGGTCCACAGGTTGGTGTCTGGGTTGTAGCATTCAGCCGTGGACAGGCTGCAATGCCCATTGAAACCCCCGCAAATGTACACCTACAAACAGATTTAGGACAGCTACATTTATGATCACTGGCTCCTGATTGGTTAGGGCAAAATCAACAAAATTACCATCATCTTCAACATGAAGAAATTGGCTAACATGAACATGATGCCAGGCTGAATAATAAGGTTATAGGAACATGTCTGTTTAGTCTTATTATCAGGCTAGTTTGGTGGTTAAAGTCACCCTCCTCTCGGACATTACTTGTTTCAGTCATCTCTGTTTCACCCACCTTGTCATTTAGAGTTGCAGCACTGGCCCCACACCTCTTTTGACACATGGGCGCTGTGATGGTCCACTGGTTAGTCTCGGGCTTGTAGCACTCAACGGTGTTATAGTAAGTATGTCCACTGAAGCCTCCCATGGCATAAATGCAGCCACTCTGCACAACAACGCTGACATAGCAGCGGCAGTAGTTCATGGATGCCACCTGGTGCAACGTGCAGGTGACGAAGTCAAACCTTTGCACTGTATTCAAGTAAGTGTCACGGTGGCAGCCACCAATTAAGTACACAAAGCTGTTGAGAACAGCAGCACCGTGGTGAGAACGAGAAATCTCAACCTTCACAGTGACCCAGCTGTTAGTTCGGGCATCATATGCCTCAAGGTTGGTCATGGTACAGTTGAAATCATTGCCTCCGGTGGCCAATAAAATGTCAGGAGGCAGGCGTGGGCGAGTCAATAGGTTTCTGTAGTCAGATTTTGAGGGTCTATTGGCCCTGAAGAGAATACATGCTGTGACTGCCTCATCGATGATGGGTACACATTCGACGCTGCTTGTTACCGCAGCATTGGCCATCACAGTGTTCTGGAGGTAGGCAAGGGTCATCAAGCCCAGTCGCACCTAAAGAGATGTAAGAGGACAGCAGTTAGAAACAGTCTCTGATATCAGTGGTTGGACTGGAAGTAGGAATTAATTGCGAGCCTGGCTCTGTCCAATAACCTTCTCTTCTGAGAGAATTAAGCTTTTAATTTCACAGCCGCAAGAGTTTGCTCATCAGAAAAAAGCAGCAGACCAATTGGGCAGTTTCTGTAAAAATTCAACCCAGTGCATGCTATATGAAGATGACAACAGTTACAGCTGATTTTATTGTTTAGTTACCTTGGGTAGCAGCACAGAGATGAGGCTTTGTCTTTGTTCAGGCAGGTGGTTAATCCAGCGGAGGACAGTCTCAAACACAGTGTTTTCTTCTTTCACATTGAGATGATCATTTTCGATGATAGCAACCAGCTCCTGCACGGAGAGCTCCAGGAGTTCCTGTGAGACACAAACTATCTCCTCAAAGTGGCGCAGGATGTAGAGGAAGACCTTATGCTTCAGCTCTGGGCAGTTGTAGAAGTTCACCAGCCTCCAGATGCCGATGCAGTTCCTCTGGCACAGCTGGTCCTCCAGGAAGAAGCAGCAGGCCTGAACAATCCCCGGGACCAGCAACTGGTCTGCAGCTGCCAAAACCTCCACCACATTCTCCTCTGTCACGGGAACAGAGTGGGTGTAGGCATAATCGACGATGAGCTGCATCATCTCAGGTGACACCCCAGGGATGGTGTACATCTGCTTCCTTGAGGTTGTCCAGGCGCCGGTGAAAAGAGTGCTGTGGGATAATCAGTGTCATCAAAGTCAAATACATGCAGCAAAGTCCTAACATCTGACCTGTTGTTCATATGTAGATAACTGATGAAGGCTTTGAAATAACAGTCTTTGCTCCACTGACATAATCTACTCACCAGAAGTAGCGGCTGCAGCTACAGAGGATGATCTTGTGGGCGCTGAACTCAGTGTCATCCACCTTGATCACCACATCACATAGTTTTTCCTCCAGGCGAAATTCAGTTAAGATTGCAGATGCCTTGTCACTCATGCGTTTTTCCATTTCATTTCTTTGATAATTCAGGTGGAAGGCGGCAACAGAAGCTCGCTCTTGCTCGCTCATTTTTGATGTCAGTATTTTTCACTGTGCTGTGTGGAGGCTGTAGATAAGTTCAGATGCTTGTTCTTCTGCAGACAGTAGTGAAGTGTCGGGATTCTGAACTTGTTGTGACCTTGAGATCAGAATCTAGAGTGTTTCATTATGACATCACAGAAGCTGAAGCCGTTACTGTCACGCAGAGTCCAGTCTGGAGACTGTCTTCCATCATGTGCAGCCACCGTCTTGATCTTTTCTCTAAATGTTTTCGGTTGTTATCCTGCTGTGGGATAAACCCCTGACGAACCAGTCCGTCCTCCTTTGTTAACTGCCTTTACCTCACCATTCTGATAGAAATATACAGCTCTACTTCCTATAATATTTCACAAATATTACTTCAGAGGGTGTAGTCACTCAGTCTGTTCCAGCACTGCCGTTATATAGACAGAGAGTTTGTAAGTCAACAACAAACGTCGAGGCGCCTGAATTGTTGCATCAACTTTCAAGGCTTCATTTACATCCATTGCTACAGAAAAGATCAATTTTTAACCCACGACTTGATCCCCCGAGATTTTATAACTGTAAAATCTACATTATTTTTCTCTTTTTGTTAACCTAAACTTTTCTTTTCACCTCGGGCAGTTTTATTTGAGGTTATTCACTGGACTGCTTAAGTTTCAGATATTAGTTGTCGTAAAGACTTCGCACCAACTGATTCTTCTGTCACTGAGCCGTGACTCTGTTCTTCATTGTGCAGACGGCTGACGATTATCAAGTCATCTGCAAACGGTTGTTCAGTTTTTGGTGAATATGTGTCAGAGGTGTTGATTCAACTGATGTAGTTTGTGGTGCTGTTGAACAAGAGAAATGTTTCTATTATTCCACCTATCCTCGTGGAAATAAAGGGGTATAATGTTACAAATAAATTCCTCTGTAATGTTATGATTATTTTCATTATTATCAATAAATCTGTCTTGTTTTTTAATGCTCATCACCAGGACTCCTTGTTGACATCCTTGATTCTTGATTGTTGGTGATAATGTTGTGTACAAATTGACGCACCCCTCTTCACATTGTTGTATTTTGTTTTGTTCTCACACCATCGTATGGTGTTGGTACATGTCAAGCCTGAGTTTTAAGTTCTGGCAGATTCATGTCATAGTTTTTCTTGTAATTAATTTTTTATCTTGTGGTTTTGTGGGTAATCACTTGTTCCCTGCACAGACACGTAAAGCAACGCAAGAGCTGAGTAAGAGAAAAGCGTTTTCACCACAAGAGGGCGACAAAGAGACATTGTTGTGCAGTCCTGAGATGAAGGGATGGATGGTGTTGTTGGCCTGACCTCCGCTATACATGGAAATTTCATCATCCACCTAGGCACCCAGAAACCAACCAGTTACCTAGAGCTGAGATGATCAGTCAAGAGACAAGTTAGTCGACTGTCTCTCTCTCTCTCCTCTTGTGTGTTTGTTTTCTTCTCCTGGACGTGTGAATGGTGTTTGTGTAGTCTGTCCTCTCTCCAGGTCTTCGTGGTGGAGAGGGAGTCGTGTGGCTCATCATCCACTCTGTAAATCTACTCTTGCTTTATTCTGTACACACAACATCCATCACATGTCTGTCTGTCCTGGAAGAGGGATCCCCCTCCTGGGTTTCCTTGTCTGATTCAAGGGTCCAAGGACAGAGGATGTCTGTTAAGCCCCTTGGGGCATGTAACCATATCATATATATATATATATATATAAATGAAATTTGACTTGACTTGATGGACATAAAGTTAATTGGAAGCACTTTTGATAATTAATAAATCATTTGAGTCATGTTTTAGGCAAATTTACTGGCACCAGCTTCTATTGTTAATATTTAATGATTTCCCCAGATTTATATTCTGGTTAAATCATCTCAAAACATATTTGGGTTTTGGACTCTGGGTCATGGGGAAAACTATTATTCTTCATATATTTTCTACTGAACAATTAATTTATGATTAAAGAAAATAATTGTCTTCTTGATATTCAGTGGTGCAGTTTTAGGATTAATCAGATAATGTGTAGACCCGGATGACATGTAGGTAACCCAGGGGCCTCTGGGGCCACCACTTTGCCGGTTGGTAATCCTGCCTTGTTTTTGAAGAAGTGGGGACCGGACAAAATGTTCTCACCTTTAAGGTCTAAAACTCAAAAGGATAGTGAACACACACACACACACACACACACACACACACACACACACACACACACACACACACACACACCTCCTTCTCTCCCCTCTCGCTCTCAGAGTTGTTCAGACTTGAGGGAGGAATGGCGGCCCCTCGGAGTTTCTTCATCTCTCTCTCCGGGTTGTTTCTGCTTTTCTGTCTCTCTCGTGGATCTACGACTTCAGGCAACAAGAGATCCAACCAGGAGCGATGCGGGTTCAAGGTAAGGAAAAGACACACACACACAATAATACTTTGACCGGGTTGTTTTAACGACATTCAGCGAAAGCTGCTGCCGCCGCCGCTGAGTCGATTCAAGTCTCCAAGAAAGAAAAGTTGAGTTTTTGGGGAGTTATTGATGGTCGGTTTCCACTGTTTCTGTTTCTGTCGCTTCCGCTTGTTTTACTAAACTAGCAGATGAAATAAAGTTAAGATTGAAGATAAAGTTTTGCTCCAACAGCTGCGTTTAGCGTCAGTCACGCTACCTTTCTTACCTGTCCGAAGCTGAAGCTCAGGTCCGGACCTTTTTCTCTCCGTAGAGACCACACTCCAGTTTAAAAGTGCTAATTTAAATATCACTCGCCTGAAGGCAAATCCACAGGCTTTGGGAAACGAACTTGAATCTCACCTGAACAAGTCGAGTGTCCTTCTGAATTTGACATACATGTAATTCCCCACACACCGTCTCCTATCGCCTAAACCGACGCTGTTAAATATTACCTGTGGGAAAAGGCAGCAAGTGGCTCCGGGGAACTAAGGGGAACTACCGAAGATGTTTTGTATTGATGAATTCAAAACTGACATGGAAAGCTCGTGTTCATGTGATTCATTGGCTTTAAACACATGCGCCTTGAGATATCAACTTGTTTAAACTGCAATGAGACAAGATTAAACCATTATTTAGTGTTAACAATGTCCCTACATCAAACTACTCAATCTCCTGTCCCACCTGTCCTGAATGTACCTACCTATTGTATTATTTCTGTAGCTGGTATATATGAGGTTACATTATGCATAAATATAATACACCAAAGAGCAGGTAATTACAAAAAAATTGCAGGCCAAATAAAAGCAGAGGATCAGTGGTTAGAATATAAATGTAAATGAGACAGTGTGTGCTTGATGCTGAATCACATGATTTCAGAGAGTTTAAAACACAGAGCTTCACCTCCTCTCCATGTGAGTTTTGTGGTTTAGGTGAATTGTAGGTAGTAAAGCTGATTTCCTGCCTTTTGTGTGTTCGGCTGAAAAGCATTTGATGTGGAAAACAGGAATCTGTGAACGGACCCACCACCTCCGCACTGCTGCTCTGCTTTTGCACTTCACAACAGCTTTGTTTCTGCGTCTCTGGCCATGAATGAAAGTCTTTCTGGTCTGTGCTGCCCTGTTGGAGTTCAGAATATGTGCATCTTTAGAGAAGCTTAGCCTCAAAAACAAAACCGTGTAATGTTTTAAATAGAAGGATAGATTACTTTCTAAACATATGGTCTTTTCTATAGTGTCTGTTTAGGGCTGCGACTAATGATTATTTTCTTTACTGATTGATTTATGTCTATAAAAATTGTATAAAAGATCCATCTTAGTTTCTCAAAGTCTAGGTTTCAGATGTCTTGAATCTTGTCTCACATATAACAGTCCAAAACATGGATATAATCAGTTTACAAAGATTTCAATTAGAGAGAAAATCTTAACCTTCCAGAGGCTGAAACTGGATTTTATTTTTAAATGTATTTTTGTTTGAAAAGTTACTAAAATAATTAATCAGTTATCAAAATAGTTTCAGATCGTTTTTCTGATGAGGAGGAGAGTCATGCAGACAGTGATGGGACGTCCCGGGCTCCTGTCATGGGTTAATCTCTGGTTACTCTCATTCACACAAGCCCTGTTAGTTTACACTGCCTGTTCAAGGCGGGAATGTTGCGCCTTTACTCCACATACACAGGCCCGGGTCCATCCACATCACCGCTACACCACAGACGAGACCAGACCTCTGAAAGTTCATTGAGCGGAGTTGATGTTGCTGCCAGTAGTAGCTGTGGGGTCTCAGGTTGCGTGTAGTCGCTATAGTAACCCGTCGTTTCCCTTTCTGAGACCAAAGCTGAGCCGTGTGGTGTTGAGCTCAGGTGAGGTCACCAATCACCAATGACAGACAGACTGTGATATAATCCCATTAGAAAGAGAATTAATAATGGGGGGGGGGAAAGAAAGATTTCTTGATCAATAATCAAATTATTCTGTTGATTAACTAATGTTTAATGGACTTTTGTTTCAGCTCTACTGAATAATTATCAGTGTGAAAGACAAAGCTTTAGTCAATGATGCAAAAAGTTGACAGAAAGAGTTTGTGTGTGTGTGTGTGTGTGTGTGTGTGTGTGTGTGTGTGTGTGTGTGTGTGTGTGTGTGTGTGCCTGTGACACAGATGTGTTTTTAAAGTGTGTGAAGTGATTTTCTTTTTCATGTGTGTAATGTGGAAAGGAGAATTATCTGATCGTGTGAGCGCACACGCTCTACAGGTTTTAATTTTCCTGTGTTGATAGATGACTCCTACCTGCCTTTGATACGTGTGTGTGTGTGTGTGTGTGTGCGTGTGTGTTTGCGCGTGCGTGTGTGTGTGCGCGTGCGTGCGAGTGTGTGTGTGATCCTAGTTTCCTCTCTCTGGCTTTGAAGTGCTTTCTACAGGAAGCTTCACACTGTTTACTCTGAAGAAACATTCCTTCCTGCAGCCCCACCCCCCCCAAACACACACACACACACACACACACACACACACACACACACACACACACACATACACACACACCTCCCCCTCTCTCTCCCAGCTTCCCCTCTCTTTTCAGAAACACACACATCAAAGGCTGCTTGATGGGGGTGTGAGGACCTGCTATTCTACAGGTGTGAGGTTATTAGACCCGTGTGTGTGTGTGTGTGTGTGTGTGTGACCCATAAATGCTCTGCTAGTTTTACATGTCTGCATCATGTTTGAAAGGGCCCCGGGCTGGGGTAGGTATATTTAGACAGAGCTGAAATAATTAGTTCATTAACTGATTAGCAATTTGTCATTTCAAGTCATTTGTTAAAGATAAAATGCAGAATGTGACAATTTGATGCTTTTCTTTGTCAGATGATGGTGAACTGAACATCCGTGGGGTTTGAATTATTGCTCAGACATTTTATATATATTTTATATATAGACCAAACTATTAATCGAGTAAATGTTTGTGATCAACTGAGAAGACAGTCAATTAATCAATAATGAAAATCAGCATTAGTTCTAGCCCTAATTTACACTTGTTTTTCTACAGTTTTTTAGTGCTAGTTTTTAGCCTCTAACACGGGACAAGTAGTTGTTTTAATTCACTCGTCTATAGATACACATTCTCATCTCCAGTTATTCCATATCTAAACGGCTCCTTTATTTCTTCAGCATCTTATTTCTTCTTTCCGACCGATGCTGAGCTGTTGCAGTTTCCCTGGAGCTCTTCAGCTTTGGCCGTGTTCAGACCTGACACTAACGTCCTCTGTCTCAGGTGATCCAAACGCAGGTGAACACAAGTACAGGTGTGAATGGACCAAGAATTCAGCGAGAACGCAATTTGAGATCCGATCACTCAGACCACATTCGGAGTTGGTCTGGGCCACACGTGATCAAATCCCCCGAGATGCATATTAATGGCGGGTCTGAACAGGGCCTTTGTGTTACTGTGGCTCTTTTGCTGCTACAAGCAAATGTTTTGCCAGGTATCTGTCTGATCCTTGAATCCCCTCCTCAGTGTTCCCCAACGCAGGACAGATCTATGGAAAGGCATCTACCACAATGTACTGTAAGGCTTTAGTTTACTCCAGAAAACACCAGGGCTCCAACTAATGATGGTTTTCATTATCGATTTTCATTATCTGATGATTATTTTCTCTATAAAATAATGACAAAATGTGCATCACAGTCCAAGGTGAGACCTGTTCTGTCTCACCAACAGTCCAGTGTTCAAAGATATTCAATTTCTAATGATATAAAACAGAGAAAAACAGGAAAGCTTTACATTTGAGAAGCTGTAAACAGCAATTTTATGACATTTTGCTGGAAAATGTAATTAAATAATTGGCCGCTCGTGAAAATAGTTGAGAATTATTTTTCGGTTGATTGTGTAATCCATGAGTTGACTAATTGTTGTCTGGCTGTTGTGATACTGGGCTGGATTTCCGTTCGCAGTAATCTCTCCCTGGTCGTGGAAGTGCATCGGGTTATAAACATTTTTAACTATTCCTCCTTAAACTTTTAAGTATTTCACTACTTCACTTCGCTTCCTCTGCTTTCCCCTGAGGCATAATAATAAAAAAGAAGCTGATATGATGTGCAACAGAACCAGAGAACCTTGCGTCTCTGTTACCTATAATGCAACTTGGAACACCGACAGAAATTCGGGTGTGTTATGCTAGACGCAGCTAACGTAGCCGTGAGCCGTTTGCCTCAAGCAGAGATGAGGAGCGGGGCGACGGCGGTCTGGCAAACTCACTTCCTTCTTCACTCCACACCCACAGGTTTTTTTTTTTTTTTTTTTCGAAAACTTGTCGGCTTGAGACCAAACCGACGCCGACTCAAGTCACTTGATCACTTTATCAGACTTCACGCGGCTCCCTCTGGAGCCACAAAAGCCTTTCTACAACTTTTTCACATATGCAGTAGTTCTCCCCGAGACCTGTGCGCAGACTTTAACGTGTAACATCAGTGGAGTTCCCCTTTAAGAGTCTACACGGACCAATGATCAGGTTTCAACATGAAGATACGCAGGAATCACTCAATCGCTCAACCTGATGAAGGAAACAGTTTCTTCTTTTTCTTTTTTCTTTTTTACTAGATGTTTCAGGTTAGTGAGGAAGACCACGGCGATGATTGAGATGATTTAGGTCCGTGTAAACTCTCCCTCCCTGGTTCAACACATCTGCTGCAGTCATCACATCTGTCTCAGCGGAGGAGGACGCACCAGGAAATCGTTCAGCTTCCTCCCCTCCCTTGTTCCGCTCTCTGTTCTCCATCCCTCTCTCTCGCTCTCTCTCTCGCCCTCACCCTCCCCTCATTTTAAAGCAGGTTTCCACTCAGTAACCATGTCACGTATCCCATCATCCTCCAGGGCTCCGGTGTGTTTTTGGCATCAAGAGAGCCTCAGAGGGCGTCACGGCTGGGTGGGCGTCCGATGTGAAACACGTGTGTTTTCTGGTTTTCTGGTG